CACTGTCTGCCTTGTTTTCCACTCCTCCTTATCATGGCATCATTGTGTGTATATGTGTGTGTTTTTAGCTTTGACTTGAGAAGACGGTCTTTCTGACCATTCACAGACCATCTGAAAAATGTTGCAAGCTTAAATCCTATTGTCTAACATTATGTAATTTCCAGAAGCCATAGTGCAGGTTTATATCAGCCATGTTTCAAATTACTAAACTGGTACACTGGATTTGGAAGGTTTACTGTATGTAATCCGATTTTAAAATATATTAGCAGGTCTGTGCACCACCCAGAACTGAACTGAAAATGTCTTTGAATTTACAATTCAATTTCTCAGTTTGAATTTAATTTCAATTGAGGTGGCAAAAAGGATGCAGGCTAACACTTTAGATTAGAAAACACTATTCACTATTAACTAGTTGCTTATTAGCATGCATATTACTAACATGTTGGTTGTTTATTAGTACTTATAAAGCACATATTTATGCTTCATTCTACATAACCATATTCTAGATCCCTTAACCCAATCCCATACCTAAACATAACGACTTCAACAAGTACCTGCTTACTATCAATAAGCTGTAATTAGGAGTTTATTACTAAGAGAAAACTCTTAGTTAATAGTCAATATGTGTTCCCTAATCTAAAGTGTTACTGGATGCAGAATTGCAATTTAAATTTGAATGTAAGGAAGTTAAATTGAAACTTGAAAAGCAAATGTTTGTCAAGACAAAAACATTGTATTGAAACTATGTATGAAAGTTTAAAAGACAGATAGATGGCTGAATGGATGGATCAATAGATGATGGATGGATGGATGGATTGATGATAGGTTGAATAGTTAATAGAATGATGGATAAATGGATTGACCGATTATAGGTAAAATAATAGATAGAACGATAGATAGAATGATATAACAATATAACGATAGATAGATGGATGGATGGATGGATGGATGGATTGATGATTGGTTGAATAGTAAATAGATGGATGGATAAATGGATTGACCGATGATAGGTAGAATAATAGATTGAACGATAGATAGAATGATATAACGATAGATAGATAGATAGATAGATGGATAGATAGATAGATAGATAGATGGATGGATGGATGGATAAATGATAGATGGATAGATGGATGGATGGATGGATTGATGATAGGTTGAATAGTAAATAGAATGATGGATAAATGGATTGACCGATGATAGGTAGAATAATAGATAGAACAATAGATAGAATGATATAACAATATAACGATAGATAGATAGATAGATAGATGAATGGATGGATGGATAAATGATAAACAGATGGATGGATGGATGGATGGATGGATAGATAAATGATAGACATATGATGATAGACATAGTGTGCTTAAGTGTGCTTGTAAATATGTGTATGGTTGTGTTTGTGTGCACAGCCGCAATAAGACGTCCTTTGATGACTGAAAGGTAAATTAGTCTGTTGTCTGTAGCTCTGCATATCTTTACCACATCAGCACCACACTGAATGACTTTTTTTTTTGTGTTCACTGCACATGGTCTTCATTAGACACCAGACACACACCAGAGTGAATTCGTCTGTTGTTTTGTTTATTTGTGGGAATAAGGGCTAAACACATAGACCAAACCACATGTGGTAAAATCGCTGTTTGTGTTCCGATCCAGATATGGAGCCTGTTGCAACTTCAGCAGATTATGAATAGGATTCATGCGATTCACTTTCACAAAGTAGCATGTTTTGTGGGAATCACAGCTGTACCTTTGTGCTGATGAAGTAACAGATTCCACATGGACAATTTATGAACGTTCCCTTTAATTAAGCAACATTTTCAAAACTTCTCCCTTGAAGACTGAAAGTGACCTTTAGATGTGTGGTTCTGACCACCCTGAACACATCATATCATGCACTTATTCACTGATGTGGCTGTGAATCAAATTCCGTGTAAAATTCCGAATCTGATCAATGTCTTTTCCCATACATATAAATATCTTTTAATGGATGCTTTTTAATTTATTGTCAATCTCCACATATGTGTTGCGCACAATTTTTGCAACGAAGTGGCCTGGTTGACCACAGATCTCGTAATTCTGACTTCAACGGTGGGATTCTTCAGATGTCAACTTGTGCAATCTGCATGCATCTGCTCTTAGTTATGGTGGTTTGAAGCCTCTTTATACAGACCAAGGGCTCCTGACATGTTGATCCATGTTGCTACACTGTTTTTGTGTTGTAGAGAGTCACTCAGATGTTGGCAGAGAGGGATATAGACAGCACTTCAGGAAGAGTAGAGGATTGAAGGAACATTCACACTGACAGAGATTTGCAACAGTGAGGCAACTAGAAGTCATTCATCTGGGCATGGTGCGACAGTGGAGGACGTTAACTTGTGCAAATAAGTGACTTGGAGAGGCGAATACCAGTATGGGTGAAGTCAGTGTAGCTCAAATGAAATACACATATATGTATATATAAATGTGTATATATAAGAGATAATGAGAGGAGAACGGTATCAGAAATTATCAGTGTTACAACAGAGTTTGCACTGATAATTATTCATTTGATTGATCAGAATATGTCTGGGTCATGTTTCACCCCAAAATCAAATGTAATCAGTGATATATATATATATGTATATATAACACACACACAAGACTGCATTTATTTGATAAAAAAACAGTAAAAAAAAAAAAGAAATTATTTTTGTTTTTTATTAAATACTATTTTCTATTTTGCCCTATTTTAAAATGTAACTTATTCCAGCCCAAGAAACATTTCTCATTTCTTATTTTTTTTAATCGTTGTTTTAAACAGTTCTGCGGATTGAATGTAAAGTTCAAACATGCAGCATTTATTTACAATATTTTTCTTGTGACAATGTGAAGGTCTTTATTGTCATCCTTGTCGAATTAAATTTTTTTTTTCAAAAATATTGATTGACTGCAGACTTTTGAATGTGTATATGTAATTATATTGCAGTATTTTAAATGACAGTAAATAATCGGAATATAATAACAATCACCTAATAATTGGTAAATAATTAGGGAAAAATGCCCTGACACATTCTGGTAATGAGAATTTTGGAGAGAAATGCGTATACATATCTTGAAAATATTGTCAAAATGTAAAAAAAAAAAAAAAAAATCTTGCTGACCCTAAAATAGCCTTCATTGTCATTATGCAAAATATAATTTTGAATGTTTTTTTTCTGTTAATTTTATGGGTGAAATGTGAACTGGACATGTTGTGAGATTCACCCAGAGTTGTGGAGAGATGAGAGGACAGGATGTGGAATGACACTGCTGGAAACAGTGTTAGATACACGCACACAGTGACTGATTACTCCCATGAGGCCATCAGGCATGTCGTTTGGCATTTGTGGTTTGTACCTCCATCATCAGAGGAAGGAGAAGCAATACGAGTCACGGAGGACATTCACATAAACACTACTCCTATTAACTAAACTAATACAAACACAGTGCGGCTAACAACCAGCCATACACAAACATGCCAAACTGAGTAAAAAATTTCTATCCAAACAAATAATAAAAAAAAAGCTCAAATGCATCCAAAAGCAAAACAGCCTGGAATACCTATTTGAAAATGAACGTACTACAAATAAACAGATGGAGTGTATTTCCATCACAGAGCACAATAGAAGAGCACTTTCTGTTCCAAGAGAAGAGGAGAGCATCTTGAGTGTAGTGCTGTTTAATAAACAGTTCATGCTTCCAACCTGCTCTCATTCCTCCGTCTGAAATGTGTGGCACAGGAAGATGAGTTACGTTCATCGTGACATCAATATTGTAAGCTTCTGATTACAATGAATAGATGAGCTCCATCTCTCAACAGAAAGTAGTTGCTAATTTTAAGCTTCATATGTTGTGTAGTTCTGTGAATTTTCACAGATGCAGGATTTTAATGTGCTGGCTGTTGGGATGAATCCATAAATCAAATTACAAGAATAACAGCTGAATGTTTGTGAATGATAAAGCGAAAGGATAATATAAACAGAGAGATTACTTAAAACTTTGTTTAGTTAGTTGTTTGGTTAGTTAGTAAGTTTACAGTTAGTTTGCAGTACATTTGCAATTCATTCATTCATTCATTCATTCATTCAATAAATTATGTCCCACAAACAGAGCAGAATGATTCATGCTGAACATTTTATGTTTTTATTTATTTCTTTTGATTCTTTTTATTTCATTTGATGTATATTTATTTGGCTAATATCAATAATCAATTTTATGTGGACACTGTAACTGTTTTATCTATGATATTTTGGCTAGTTAGGTTAGTTTGGTTTGTTAGTCCATTAATTTACTGATTAATTAATTTACTGATTAGTTTAATAGTTTGCAGTACATTTGCAGTATCTGACTATTCATTCATTCATTCTTTCATTCAATAAATTATGTCCCACAAACAGAGCATTTATGCAGATTTATGCAGAACATTTTATGTTTGATTTCTTTTGATTTCATTTGATTTGGCCAATAATCAATTTTATGTGGAAACTATAACTGTTCTATGTGATATTTTGGCAGAAACTATGGTCGCCATGGTAGATTATTGAAAGGCAGTGAAATGATAGCATGTTTGTGAATGATAAAGTGAACGTGATTAATAATTTCTTGCCTGAGTTCATGACTAAGAGGGTTGACGATAACCAAATGTAAAATAAGCCATCACTTCTTACAAACTAAAACAAAGTGAGTGGCCCAGAGTTTATCAATTCACAACTTTCCTCCCAAACACCCTCAGGGAGGTTAGTCAGCATCACACAGCTGTGTTGACATCTCCTCAACACTTTCCATCCGCTCCAATAAATTAGACAGGCAACAAATATAAACATTTTCCATTTATTTTACTTCCCGGATCGGTTCAACAGCCTCGGTGTCTATCAGGAAATGCGATAATATGGGATAACATTATGAGGTGGAATGGACAGTGGCGGGACGACTTTAAATGGGCTGAGGGAAAGGGGAGGGAGCGCGTGAGTCTCTCAGCTCGCGCTCATCTTCAGTCAGTCCATCGCGCGCTTGCTCACTGTCCGCAAGAGCACCGCTACAGCCGCGCTGCTGTCATACTTGAGTCTTACAAATAGTCTTATTCAAAGCAGGAAAACGCCAAGACTTTTGACGTCTCTTTTGTATTTTTTGGGGTCACGTAAACCTATCCAAAGCGACATGTGGATTTACAAAATTTTGCTCTGTGTGGCCGTTTTGGTTTACTCAGGTAAGTTTTTTTTCCCTCCAATAAGCTTCTTACTTGCTATCATGTATCATGTTTTACAGTAATAACTGTGTTATGTATTACAGTTGTAGCAATAACTGTAGTAAATGTGGTTTACATGTGTAGTAAACTGTGGTTACTATGGTTAATTTGTGTAACAGTATTCTGGAGATGCCCACTCTCTGCGCAAGTTTACATGATTTATGGGTCATTCCTACTGGTGGCTTTTGGGATTTGAAAAATTAACTGATAAGTATCTTTGTTTCATGAAAGTAACATATTAAATATTTTTTTTACAGGCGTTATACTGATTAAGCTCATTGACTTATATTTACATATAGAAACATTTTAAACAAATTAGGGCTGAGTCTGACACAAATGTCCACCTTGTAATGAACAAATAAACGGCAGCCTAATAGACTATTAATGTACACTTCTGTCTAGTTTTTGGGTGTATCAAGTGGCTTTTTATGCAACATTGTTAATATATTATTAAAATGTGTCATTTCATGTGTTTATTTCTTAAAACATCACTGTTTACTTTTAAGCTACAGATTAATTATTTACAAAATATCTCATAATTGTAATTTGTGGATAATACTACTATATGTAAATATTTGTACAAATATGTATATTTTTACTGCATTATTATTGTGAATGCACAGTGTATGCATAGGATAGTTAAAGTCTGAATGAAATTCAAATTAACTGTTTACATTGTTAGTGCACATTACTAGTCTTGTGGTGAACAATCAATCTGTGCAATTTAAAAAAAAAAGTCTCTCAAAACCTGAAATTTGCTTCCCCTTTGAAACGGCATTCCTTCTCAGATGATGTCAGTTTGATGACTTGGGCTTAACATCCTTAACAACTTCCTTCCAATCTTCAGTCTGTTGCGACCTAGAGATAGTGAGGAGGTGGGCTAAAATAAAGCCCCACCCTCTTTTTTTTTTTTTTTTGCTCTGAAATGCATCAACATATTCAATAAAATCGGTCGCAACTTCAGGTTCACACAGACTTTAATGTTTCTGATAAAAATGGCCTGTTGTTTTGCCTTGTTTTTTTTACCAATAAAAGAAGCCAAATCACATACTCTGATCTGGAACCCGACAAACACAAACAGAGTGATGCAAACCGTGTTGCTGGACTGCACTGTATATCAGCACTACTGGAACATCCCTCAGCCAATCAAATTTGAAGACCAGTGCTAACTATACTGTAACGGATTGTGCTACATACATTTTATCCTCAGATTAATCTCCATTATTTTTCATCTTTATTAATCTCTTAAATTTCATTTTTTTAATCTAACTCAAAATATTGAAATGCATTAGGCATGCCAACAAATTGCATTTCATGACTCAAATTACACATGTAACAAAAGCGTCACAGTTCCCAAACATTGTATTAAGTTTCACTACGGAAAACTTCACAGATGTTGACATTCATGGTGAGTGGGCTGTTTCTTCTTCGCAAAACATCTGGATAAAATGAGTCACCGACAGTGTGCACGGAGCTGAAGGGAGAGATGAAGTGTTGGCGTGTGGCACTATGAAACCCTTCTTTTGAAATCAGAACTGCTTTATTGCGCAGAACCTATTAATTATTCTGTGTTTAGTTGTTTTGTTTCTAATCTGCAGTACATCTGTGACATTGAAGGATCAATGTGGCCTGTTGCTTGCTCAAAGTTTAGATCAGTTAAGTTTTTATTGATTTTAGAGTAATATATTCTGTATAATGGAATGTAAAAACCTTTGTTCAGACATCCAGAGTCATGTAGATGTTCAGATAACCTAGCTAAATGTGCATTTTGCATACATTAGGATATAAAGGCCTACATCATGTGAGTTGTAATGCTTTACTATTAGACTATTGTAATTTTGACATTTGTATAAACGTATTCATGCTACTTTCTTACTTTTCCTACTTTTGTATTATGAGATGACCCTCAGTGCTGTGCAAACTGGCCATATTGGTGCTTGTTCTGTACAGACTTACTTTCTAATAATATTCAGAGCTAGTCAAGAGCAGGAGTCTTTTTAAAGAGCATGACTGTTGGCTTTGGGTCAGTTTTCGAGCTTAGATGGGGTCTAATGTTCCTTGGTTGGTCTACTATCAGAATTTAGAGCTTGTTTCACACACAAAAGCATGCCTGATCTCACAGTGTGGCTGTGAAATTGGTGCTTTCTATCCATGTGCTTGACAGATAACTCAATTCTCATGACATGACATGGATGGGCTCGGATGGTGATTTGAGAAGGTTTGATGCTGCACACTAGGATCAGAGTCAGATTTATTTTCCTTCAAGTATTCTACCCAGCCCATAACTGACTAGTCAATTCGTGACCTTACTAGTTGTAGGTTGTTGGGCAACTAGGATCTTTGTGAGTGTAATATTTTTAGCTGTGTTGCATTTAAAGGGAGATGCGGTTTTAAAATAATTGAGAGTTTTAGCATGTTAACAGTCAACAGCCTGGTAAAACTGACTAAAGGTTTAGTCTGATCAGGGCCTTGTGGACTTGATTCCACCTAAGGACAGAGGGTTTCCTTAAAGGGATAGTTCACCCAAAAATGAAGATTGTGTCATCATTTACTCACCCTCACGTCTTTCCAAATCTCTATGACGTTCTTTCTTCTATGTAACTCAAAAGAGGATATTTGGAAAATATGTGTTTATTTTTTGTCTACACAAGGAAACGTTCTTCAAAATATCTCCTGTGTTCAGCAGAAGAAATAAATGCATACAGCTTTAAAACGACATGATGGTGATTAAATGATAAAATTATGAAATATTCATTTTTTTAACATAGGCTAGTTATCTAGGCATCCAGCTGTCAAGTAAATTATGAAAATGTGTAGTTTTGCACATTCTCATTGTGATCCAAGCAGGTTGTTGAAATATAGTTTCATCATCATAGTTCCTTTTTTTGCTCCATATTTAATATTCTGTTTTATGCCTCCTATGAGGCTTATAATCAGCCTTTACTGATTACGAGAAAGAAAATCACGTGCCATCTGTCATGAAACACATGTTCTCCCCATCCTAACACGTGTTTTCTGTGTGGCAGAAACTAAGAGGCATGCCCTGCAAGACTACCAGAAAACTGATGCCGTGCGCTTGGTCACACCACCTGATGTGTCCTACATGTCCAAAGGCCGCAAAATGAGTGTGGGAAAATGTGCACGTCGCTGTAGCCGCAACAGGAAGCTCCAGTTCACCTGCAGGTACAGAGGTCTACAAAGGTTAAAGCACAAAGACACTCCACCTTACACGTAATCGTAAACAGCCTGAAGTGTGTCTAAATAAAAGAAGCACACTCCCAGTTTGCTCTTGGAAACTGGCTGATCTGAAGTAGAATTGGATTAGCTAATTGTGTACAACACAGTGTGAGAGGAAGCAGCTGGAATCTGTTTCACTAGTGGAAATCAGCAGTCTAAGTATTTCCTATTTTGATGTTTCAGGTTGATGACCTCTGGTTACTTCTGCATAGAAAGAAAGTGCAGCTCTTAGTAGATAGAAATTGCACGAGGTTGCATGACATTTTATCTTTAGCTCTTGCAATGTTTTCCTTTTTTTTTTTCAAATTACAAAATACAAAAATCTGACAACAATAGCTTATGTTTTGCTTTACATGAGAAGACTATCTACTGATAACATTAAATGATAAATAATTTTTGTCACCATCCTTTTGTTTTTATTTGCTTAACATAATTTAATAGGATTAACATGTGCCATACATCTTTACAGAGCATTCAACTTTGATCAGAAAACTACAAAGTGTAATTTACTCTCCTACGACAGCCTCACCATTGGTGTCCGCATGGAGAATGACTTCAACTTCGACCTATATGAGAAGAAAGGTACAAAAATACTGTTTTATTGCCACAAGTCAGGCCCGGTTCTACGGGGGTGCTAAGCACCCTCAAACGAAATCAAAAGCACCCTCAGTTAAAGCTGTATTAATGGCATTTTATTGCAGATTTGGCAAACTATCCAGTGCGTTATGGTTTGCGCTCTGGAGATTGATTTCTGTTTCAACGTGTTTTTGCAGCGTTGAGCAATGTAGCTAATCACAGACATATCTGTTGATTTCTTGAATCAGAGGCGTTTAAGTTAGAATCCACTCACCACTCAAATCGCCGGAGGTTTTTTTTAGGTATTGTGTCCAGCAGGAATCATCTCATTGTAACAAAGTGTTGATGCAATGTAAATAAGAGATTCGTTGTGCAGCATAGAGAACTTTAATCATAATAACGTATCTTTGTGAGATCGCGATGAACTAAGATGAGTGACAGCTTTTACATTTACATTTAGTCATTTAGTCTTTAGTCATTTTAGCTTTTTTAGTGATTATAAACAAAGCATTTTTTGCGCCATAGCAACGGACGCCACTAATATATGTGTATGTATGTGTGTGTGTATATATATATATATATATATATATATATACTGTATATATATATAGTTAGAGCACCCTCACTAATTTAAGAAGCACCCTCAGTGATTTGATTCTGGAGCCGGGCCTGCTACAAGTTTTGACTTCCTTTAGGCCAGAGAGCATATCTTATAGGGATGCATAATATATCATCGACCATATTGACATCTACCAATATTAGTGTTTTAAACAGTCATCTACTTAATTCTTATTAAGCAAATATTAGAAGCTTACACATTTCTTTATCCAGTTCAAGCACTACTCTTTTTCTACACCAGGTTTCAAAAGTATGAAACCATTTACAATCTTATTTACTGTGGAAAATAATTAATCCTGTGTGTACATTTTTTATGCAGAATATAAAATTCTAGATTTGGCTTTAGTTGACATTCCAAAACAGTATAGATTTTTAATATCGTTCATCATATCAGTTAATATATATAATTGATATTATGCTTATAACTGATATTGAACCAAAATGTCTATATTGGTGCATGGTTTGTTTTTAAACCCTTTTAAATCTCAAAAACATCTAGAGTTAAAGCTTATGCTGCCATGATCTGCCACTGATGGGTTTCATAATATGAAGAGCTGTTCTCAGACCTTAACCAAGAATTGGACTCTTAAGGATTAATTAAGTTTCAGTGTGAATAAATGTGAGATCAGTGTCCATGTGATGATGACACACTCATGCAAACACACACATACTCGTTCTATCTATCCACCACCATGATGAGGATGACACAGCAAACTGAGTTACACAAGTCACTGGAAGTAAATACCCCACTGTTTGTCCCTTCTATTTCTAAGAGTACTGCAGATTTTCTGAAGTCTAAAACACTTCTTAAGGCTTGACATTTATCAAATGTTTATGAAGCACTTGACCCAAAAACACAAAGATCAGGCTCGAATATCTGTTGACTTGTCTATATGTATTACTGCTGCCAACAAAGTGAACAGTGACATTTATAGACTTTTAGTGACCTTGGTTCAAAACTTTGGGATTAGTATTATTATTTTTTTCTTTTATTCAGCAAGTGCACATTAAATTGATCAAAAGTGACAGTAAAGACATTTATAATATTACAAAAAGTTTATATTTCAAATAAATATTATATATATAATATATATATATATAATTATTCACCAAAGAATCCTGAAAAAAATGCATCATGGTTTCCACAACAATATCAAGCAACTGTGATAATAATAAGAAGAAATGTTTTTTAAGCACTAAATCAGCATATTAGAATGATTTTTGAAGGAGCATGTGACACTGAAGACTGGAGTAATGGCTGCTGAAAATTCAGCCTTGCCATCACAGGAATAAATTATAATTTTAAATATAGTAAAACAGAAAAAATACTTATTTTAAATTGTAATAATATTTCACTATATTACTGTTTTTACTGTAATTTCGATTAAATAAATGCAGCCTTGGCGAGCATAAGAGACTTTCAAAAGCATTAAAAAATTTTTACAGACCCCAAACTTTTGAATGGTTAAGTATTTCAAAATATTCAGATGTATACTAATTTATTAATAGTTTGAGAAGACAGACCCAATTACGTCTACTCATGCAAAATTAAGTTTTAAAATGATTATAGAAATTACAGCAGGTATAGGAGTGCATGGTTTGTCTTGAAAGGTTAATATACTGTACATTATAAAAATCCATTTGGTGAGATTTTTGGTTTCAGAAAACGATTGTTACACATAAAGATTACATTACCTAAGGTGTGTCTATATGTTTACTGTTCTTCAGACTTCATGAGAGAATGCATCATTGGCAATGGACTCAATTACAAAGGAAAGAGATCGGTGACCAAGAGTGGAGTCCAGTGCCAACTCTGGAATTCCAAAATGCCGCATGAACACAAGTAAGTGTGTTCATGCTTACTCATCCTCTTTACCTCCCATTCTTGGTTTTGTCTCTCTCTACAGGCAATTAAACTCAATTTCCCTCTATGTGCATTTCTGTGGCTATCAAAAGTATTGTGGAGTGTAGATAGTTGTTAACATCTCTTTGGTATGCTTCAGTTTATTTATTTATGCACATATTACGCTATTAGATAGCTAATGGCAAAACAGACTACATGAGTCGTAAAAATCTCCATTAGTTTCTAATGATGATGAATGCGCAGTTTAATGTGTGCTGTCTCACTGGCTTTGATTCGTTAGTGGGTTCTTGCTCTACAGTAAGTGTGACAGTAAGTGCAACTCGACGATTCTCAGAAGTGGAGCGCCAACAGAGACAATTAGGTCAATGGCAGGAACGCCAATGAGCGACCAGTACATTTTCAAACAATTGCTTCCGTTCTTGCATCGCCAAAAATAGACGTTTGTTTACAATTATGCATATGCATAAACACTTCAATGCAGGTTTACCCAAAATATACATTTTTGTATACACTAACATCTAAAAATAAACACCAAGAAGCCATATGCAGCCTGGAACAGATGTCATGTTTACAGGATTTGAGGGTTTGTGCATAAGTGGGAGTTTGACATAAAGCAGCACAAAGGTAAGATAAGATTCCTAATGCAGAACACGCCTTTCTTTGAGTTCATTACGGCTACGGGAATTCATTAGGGACACCACATGGTGCTTTCGATTTGCTTCCTGTACTGCAAGTCGTTATGATAGATCTGCCCTATCTGGCCTATTTTTTGGCCTGTACAAAAGTTTTATGCACTTTTCTTAAATCCTGAAAATGTGATTACCTTTCAGAGACCTTGAACCCTTACTACCAACTTTCCCTCTCTCTCTCTTTCCTCATTTCCCTTCAACTCTTTTTATCTCTCTAATAGACATTAGTACAGATTTAAAGCCAGCTTTTGATATGCTTGCCTCTGAAACATCACAGGCATGTTTTATCGGCTCAAAAAACCAATGGACCTGAACGTTTTGAAATACCACACAGGCCTGTAGGTCAGCTAATTTGTCACAGATTGCATTTTTATCTGTATTCATCAATCTTCATGAACTTGGTTGATTTGTGCTGTGAATGCCAGAGGCAATTACACAAAAGATAATTTCTGTTGTGCTGCACACATCTGAATATTTGGGTTGAACTGTTCTGGAACAGTGTTGTAAATACAAATTAACCACTGATTTCTAGATTTGTGTCCTCTTTTGGAAGGCCAAACAAAGTAATTTCGCTTTCACAAGGAAACACAGCTTCACACACGGCGGCCTTGAGTGAGCAGTTCAAAAAACACATACTGTACATTATTGTTTCTCCTCTATGCCCCGCCTTTCTGAAACGTGTCGATTTTTACTAAGCTCATCGGTCTGAAAAGCAGGTGTGCTGTGATTGGCCAGCTATCAAGTGCATGGTGATTGGCCGAATACCTCAAGCGTGTGACGGAAATGATACGCCCCTTACCATATTGTGATGTCTTACCATATTGTGGTAACCTATTATAAACGAGGCGGCGGCAACAATACTACAGCGAGAATAAAAGTTACGCCTTCTTTCTTTGCGTGAACATTTGAATGAATGAATGAATGAATGAATGAATGAATATCTCTTTGGATTTGAGACTTTAGTCTTTGCAACTTTACAGATCTTCTTTATGCACCAAGAGTTTGTAACACTTCAAAGAGAAAGGACAAATTGAAATCGTATCATATGACCCCTTTAAGGCAATGATTAATTCATGTTTTACAAATATTTGCATGGCAAGGGTAAAAGACTTTTTGAAACTTTTTGCATTAGCAGCATCTCAGAGTTTTACTATTATACAGTGGTGCCCATAAAGAAATGAATAGTACCTTTGAGAAATAGGTTTAAATGATGTAGATGTAGAGTCACCTCATCATGGTGGTCACCATATCACATATACAGTACTAACTCCTAAATTTATTGCGGTAATCAATTTATTTTAAAAGCTTTGGGTTTCAGAATAAATGGTTTATTGGATGAAAGAACTGTGTAGTTCTGTAATGGCATTGGGAGCCAAAAACATTTGTTTTTGTGTGATGCTGCTTTCATAACGTTTAAATAGCCAAAAATGCTATTAAAGCAACAATGCTTATAATGAGCGTAGTCTAACTCAAGGACTGTGCAGTTTTTGACCTTCTCTGACCAAGGGCTTTACACAACACCATTCACTTGCCAAAATCATTATTTACCTACATTCATTTGTTGTTTTAAGATTCAACCTTTGTACTTTTTCCTTAAGTAAAAATAAAAAAAAATGAAGATGCAACAATTTCCCCAGAGCCAAATGCGTGTTAAGCTCTTGCATCACAATGAAATGTAGAAGCTAATAATTGCAAAGGATTTTTAACGTCAATAAAAGAGCATTAACCCTCACTCTGCAGCTAAAAATGTCAAGTAATATGTCAAAGAGTAATAGTATGTTGTTCCAGAAATTTGGAGCAATTTTGTTTGGTTATGATTAACAAACATCACCTCTATTTCATGTTTTTCTTCTCACTCCATTAGTTTCTTACCCCAGAAGCACAAGCACAGAGATCTAAGGGAGAATTTATGTCGTAATCCAGACAACACCACAACAGGTCCTTGGTGCTTTACCACAGACCCCAAAATGCGCCACCAGGACTGCAGCATCCCACAATGCTCAGAGGGTGAGTTCAAGACCAGCAACTTTTTGTATTTTATTGTTCAGAATTATTATTATTCGGCTTTCAGTTATGTTTTTGTATTAACTTTGTCAGATATTTGTACTAAACTAAACTGTTGATAGCATGTAAGAATATAGAGCTATGAAATGAATGTGAATATTATCAAGATCATTTGGTCTTTATGAGAAGAATTACTGAAATTTGAAAATCATTGAAAATTTCATACTTAAATCTCTGACATTTAATAGTAAACAGTTTTTTTTTTTTCAAAACTGAGCACATTCTAATATGCTAAGTTTTTTCATGATACAAATCTGTGTATCAGGAGATTTCAAAAGTCTCCATTTGTTCTCAATTGACTGTTTTGGAGAAACAATTGTGATGTTAAAGCAATCTCACTTGTGATATCTCTTTTCTATTGGTTAGCAGTTTAAACTGAGGAATGTTAAATATGAGCACTAAAGATTTTCAGCCTTTTAAAACACCTTTTTCATGTCAATTGTTAATTTATTAAATTCAAGTCTTTATCTATTGAAGAAGAATGAAAGCGCTTGATTGTTGGGGTGACTGGGGATTTTCGTTAATAGGAGATCACATCGGGTCGCATGCATAAAAAGGGGTTTTCTGCAAAGATAGCAATCAGGCCAACAAAGAGAGCCTCTTGTCTATTCTAAGAGTTGCATGGTGAAATATGGCTGGGAGGGTTTGCTAATAAGTTAGTTTCCCATAATCAAAAACACACACAAACACAAGGAAGTAAAATCATGCTTTCATGAGAGTGGCTGACATTAACATCTGTTTCTACAACAGCAATCCTTATACTCCTTATACTGTGTGTACTGTACAACTAATAACAGTATTTAGAGAGACGACTCTAGCTGAGGTGACCTCCATCTTCTGTTATATTTGGTTTGGTCCTACAGTGACTAAGCTCTTTACTAAGTACTGTAATAATTACATGTTGCTGTAACCTCTGATCGTATTAAATCTGTTAGAAGCTGCAATGTACATTTGGGGTTAAAAGTAAGGCCTAATGGGTGGAACGTCCTGCCTAGTAAATTGAAGCGGAAGATGATTTATTTTTAGACAATCTAAGGGTCACATGTGGCTCCGTAATTGCTTGTCTTCTTGATAAATGCGATTACAATCCCTGCAGTCATTAATCGTTAGTGATTAGCCTATGCGTATCAAATATGGGCACTAATTTACTACCAGCATTCTGCCACAGTTACAATCGTCTAACCATTTAACATGACAACCAAAGTTGAACCCTGTTGAGTCATCCTCTACAAGCATGCTAATGTTGCTCAGCTGGACTCTTTTGGGCCTCGTCCTGGTTAACATTCTTACCAGGCATGTTCCTTATCCATAGTGGAATGCATGACGTGTAATGGAGAAAGTTACCGTGGACCAATGGACCACACGGAGAGCGGTAGGGAATGCCAGCGCTGGGACCTTGAGGAAACACATAAACACATTTTCCATCCTAAAAGGTATGAGACCCACCAGAAAATGCAAACAGTAAGGGACAACATCAGTCAGAAAGATTTCAGGTCAGGATTTTCAATCAATATGAGAGGCTTGACCAATTTGGCATACTTACAAAAATGCAAATCTCTTTTGTTCACCTGTTGGGTACTATTGATGATATCTCAGATCATGTGGCTTGTTGCAAAAAGGTGTGCAGTTAATTTTCTAAGTGATGAAAGTTATGATTTTGCACCTGGGAGACACAAAACAGGTGAAAAATCTATAGACTTAAATTAAAGGGATAGTTCACCTAAAAATTAAAATTCTATCAGCATTTACTCACCCTCAAGTTGTTCCACACAAACCTGCATGGATTTATTTCTTCTTCTGAACACAAAAGAATATATTTTGAAGAATGTTGGTCACCAAACTCTTTCTGGTCCCCATTAACTTTCATAGTATTTTTTTCCATACTATGGAAGTCAATGGGGGCCGACACAACTGTTTGTTTACCTACGTTCTTCAAAGTATCTTGTTTTTGTGTGTATGTGTGTGTGTTCACCAGAAGACTATCCCTTTAAAGAGGGACCTGAGACATATCTAACATATTATGGAGACTTGTGGGGTGGCCTGATTTGAGTTGAGACCCAGAAACCTTCTAGAACTCCATAGCAACTACATGGAAACAAACAAAATAACGAACAATTCAGAACTCTTTCGCAACCCCATAGCAATGCCCTGGAAACCACTCAAAACACTTTAGTGAGGTTTGGTGAGTTTTGCACGGCAGACACCACTCAGGTTTTCTTCAGAAAATGTAATGGTAGTTGATGTTAATATGATTAAGTTTTAAAGAAAGTATCAGATATCAGTTGAAAAACTAGTCAGTGATTCGATAATGTTATGCTGAAGAAAGCTGGGGTCATAAATGGATCACTGGCCTCATGTCATTTAACGTTAATTGTGGAAAACAACTCAGCTATGCTTTAATCTGTCTTAAATCACAATGCAAGCAGGCATCTTAAAGTGATGGCCAACAGCAGTCATGAAAAATTACACTTTGTTTTGGAAAAATATCATCCGTTTGGACCATGTTCATATTGGACAAAAAAAGAAAAAGTTCTAAATTTCCTTGTACATCTTTACTCAGTTGCACACCTATTTTGTGAAGAATAGCAACTGAAACAGTTGACCACATTGTTACCTGATGGACATGCACATTCCATTCAGTAAATGGCATTTTCATTTTGCGTGACATTCCCAGTGACCCAGTTACATCTTTACTAGTTCTGGGAAACAACAATATCATTAATCTTGAAATAAATGTTGGTTTGTTTGAATACTCTCCCTTAAGAGTCTCTAAATACACAAAGTATATTTTTTTTTCAAATGTCAGATTGCATACATGGTAAATGCTCTTGCATTTTGCCTAATCTGGAATGGCATTTGTGAGCAACTTTTAAAAATATTTGAAAAATCAATACATTTTTTCCCACTTGACCTCATGGGAACTGTGTCATGCCCCCGTTTGATATAAATCACTAAATCAAATGACTGCTTTTTGTGAACCTACCAAAGAGGCAAATTGTCTATTATGTCTTAAGCTTTTTTTTTTTTTCAGAAGTGCAAGCAACCATAAAAACCCATTGAACATTACAAGACAGAAGCTCTTTACTCTTTACATGACAAGTCTGCCACAAAAAGTCTCAGATCGTAGTGTAAATACAACATTAAAATTTTAATCAATCAGATATTTATTTCAAATTGACTTTGTTATATAAAAATGTAATTAATATAAAAAATATAGGAAATGCATAATTAAATATTGAGTATCAGCCAATATACACTACTGTTTAAAAGTTTGATTATTTAATGATTATTTAATGTAAAGAAGTCTCTCACCAAGGCTGCATTTATTTGATCAAAAACACAGAAAAAAATTTTGATATTATGAAATATTTTTACAAAAATAATTGTTTTCTGTTTTAATATATTTAAAGGAGACATATTATGCCCCTTTTTACAATATGTAATATACTGTAAGTCTCTGGTGTCCCCAGAATGTGTCTGTGAAGTTTCAGCTCAAAATACTCCACAGATCATTTATTATATCATTTTGAAAATGCCTATTTTGAGTGGAAGCAGAAACACGCTGTTTTTCGTGCCTTTCTCTGTAATTGCAAATGAGCTGCTGCTCCCCGCCCCCTTTTCCAGAATAGAGCTGTGCCTTTACAGCTCGTATCTGCTAAAAACATCTGTTTTGGTTCTGAATATCATGTTTATCGTGCTGAAATCATGCGTTTTAAACCATATTAGTTTAAACTTCTGATAGGTTTTCTGAGCGCACACAACCGAAGCACACAGACAGAAAGTGGCCACCAGACAGCATGTGAGTACTAAATTAAGTTCTCATTCACACACAAGTTTATGTTAAAAACACACATGAGTTACAAAAACAGTCGGTTATGTCTGTGAAGGTAAACAGCTGGGAAATAAATCGCTTGTTTATTTTAGATCTGCGTAGCAGCAGCAATATACAGTAAATAAATCAATAAATCCACTGCTCTCTTGTCTCCTCTGAGGCTGGGACTCTAAACAGTGTTCTGTGCTCGTCAGTGCAGCCAAAGACAGAACAGTTAGCGTGTTTTGCGCAAACTTTCGCCATGGCGTTAGAACTGGTACATTGTTGTCGCTTGCGAAATCAAAATGATGGCGCTGTGGGTGGAAATTTACAGATTAAGGGGCGGTAATATTATAATGAGATCCCTTTGCCACGTCACCAAGGGAGCGAAATCTGACGCACTCGTTTTCTCAGATGCTTGCAGAAAAAGGCTTACCAAAACAAAGTCACTTGGTCAATCTTTTTCATGTTTCCTTGGTTGGTAGATGCACCGGGGACCTGATTATAGCACTTAAAACCTGGAAAAGTCAGATTTTCATGATATGTCACCTTTAAGTGTAATATACAGTATTCCTGTGATGGCAAAGCTGAATTTTCAGCAGTCATTACTCCATTCTTCAGTGTCACAAGATCTTTCAGAAATCATTCTAATATGCTGATTTATATTTAGTGCTCATCATTTTTTGGTGAACAGAAAGTTCAAAAGAACAGCATTTACTGAAATAGAAATCTTTTGTAACATCATAAATGTACATTACATTCTGTCACTTTTGATCAATTTAATGCATCCCTGTATAACTCTGAGACTTTGCATGTGTGCAGAGCAATGAGCTTCTGTTGTGTGCGCTTTGCCTAAAAGGTCCTGTTGTACCAGTAGCGGAAAGCATGAAATGTGTTTTCTGGAGGCTATTAGAATTTTATCCTGCCTATAAATCAAAGCTTCCGAAGAACTGGGATAGTTGATATGTGGTGTGTTAAGCGTGTTCATTTTGCCCCTCCTATGACAGGTACCCCGATAAAGGTCTAAAGGACAACTACTGCAGGAACCCAGACGGGCGCCAGAGACCCTGGTGTTTCACCACTGATCCGAGCACTCCATGGGAATACTGTAACATCAAACAGTGTGGTGAGTGTGCATCTTATATGTAAGATGAAGAGACAGAGAGAAGAACAAAAAAGAAGCCAGAGAGAAAGAGAATGAAGAGAGGCAGAGTTTGCCAAATTTACAACTTCCTCTTCCTGTAGCCCTGGCTCCCCTCTCGTTTGGGACCCTCACAGGAATGTTGTTTGTAACCGGGAGAAGAGAGAGAGGAGGGTCCACCTATAAAACTCTCTCTCCTCTCTTTCTCTTTCCTCAGCTCTTGCCCCGTCTTTTCGTTAACATGCCTCCGTGTTTATTTTTCCTCATCAGAGCAGTAGAGCATTGCCTTATCTGCACGAGAGAAATGTGCTCGAGTTTCAAGTGCTATGTAAACTTCCATACTAAAGACAAAACAAGCGTGTGGGTTTCAAACCCCCAACTCGCTCAAACACACAAGCTCACAAGTGCCCAAAAACCTATTATTATAATGACTCCCCGCCCCCCCTCCCCTCACGCTGCCTCTGTTTGTTTATTTTCATTAGCGAGGCGACGGCATGTTGGTTCAAGTGGGAAGCGAAGTATAAACTCAGGCATCCGACACTCACGTTCTTCACCATTTTAGACCGAGCCGTGGGGGTCGCATTTGTTTTTCAGAGCTATTTGGCAAGTCCATGTCGTAACTTTGAGCAAAACTCTGTGACGGATTCTCAAAGATCACCGTAATGGGAGGAACTTTTCAACACTCTCTTTCCTGTTTGGCAGAACGTAGCTTCTTTTCAAACACCTCGGCATCTCAATAAGCAGCTAAACAGAGTTGTCTCTCGTTTCCCACCTGTGGAAACCATCATAGGTGCATCTGCTTTTACAAGACGTGGCTTTCGTCCACTTGCAGAAGGAACGTTGTCATTAACAAGACTATTTGATCCTCTATAAAGCTAAACATGCTCTTAAAAGATACAATGCTGCTCTGCAGTAAACACAACAAGACAAAGCGCCTCATTGTTTTCAATTTCTTGACCTTTGTATTTGTTTTCATGATGTTATGCTCCACTGCCTTAACACCGCTAAAAATGCTAACCTAACATTGTACGAATATAATCCCAGCTAACAGAGAATGTTGTCTGAACATTGGCTAATGTTCTGGTAAGGTTCTCTCAAAGTTATGAATAAATGTTTTTCTAGTAATGTTAATAGAATGTACGTTCATAGCTATCTGGTCTTTAATAATGTTCTCAAAACAGTGGCACAAAAACATTTTTATACATTGTTCATGAAACATTTTTTCTTAAATGTTTTAGTTAAATGTTCGTCTAACATTTTTTAAACGTTACTACTTCACTAGATTCAAAATGTTTTCAAAATGTTCAACATCCAAAGTCACATTCCCATAATATTTGTTTGATGATAAAATGTAAAGTTCACTTAATGCTGTTGCAGATATTCGCATTAACAAGAAAAAAAATGTTGTAAAACTTTTTGAAAATTAGATGTTCTGAGAACATTCAGAAATAACGTTTCCGTAACTTAATTGGAACATTATCAAAATGTTCTTAGAACATATTTTTGTTAGCTAGGATAACATCACATATGCTGGGATCCACTGTACATCTCTTCATATTCTCAGTGTATTGGATGCATTTGAGAATTTGACTTAAGGTTTTATTAGCAGGACTTGGCCTATATACCCAGACTGTTAGCCTCATTATTAGCAGACTGAAGCACTATCAGTTTATTGGAGGTAAACATAATAACTCTGTCTCCAATGAACGTAATTTATTGCAATGAGATGCATGGGCAAAAACAATATATATCTGTTGTGCACTCATACAACACTTACGTTTTACCCTAAAAAAAGCTCTGTAGGCTACTGTTTCAGCATTTGTCACAGAGTTAGTGACTGCTTTGACTCATTCAGGAAGCATCTCTCTCTGTTAAGCAGGATAAAGCTGTTGTTATTCCTCCCTCAGGCAGCGCGGTCTTACAGTTAATGGTGAATCTATGATTCAGCGTTCATCATGCCTAAGGAGTGATATTATGTTTCATTCACTCCCTTTGTCTTTCTGTTTATGCTTTTCACTATTTACTCAGATTCAGACAATGGCGGTGACATTGACAACACAACAACTTGTTTCCGTGGACGTGGAGAGGGTTATCGTGGAACGGTTGGCATCACCCCCGAGGGAGTGACCTGTCAGAGATGGGATGCCCAGTTTCCCCATCGACACTCTTATACTCCACAGAATTACCGTTGCAAGTAAGAAAATGCTCCTAAAACATATGCATTAAGTATTCATTTATAGTTATGTGTCGACTGGACTTGGACTTGATTCGTGCACATCAGCCAAACTTTGTTCTTTTTATTGAAGGTGGTTGACAAAAGTCTTGCTGGAAAATCTAGTTTACATCAGTACACCAGCATCCCTTTCTGTTAGAATATTCTGTTAGAATATTAGAATTCGGGTTGATCGTGGAAAGCCGATATTTTTTTTAAATTATGACAGAAAACCAATAAATGGCTGATATTAAACACAATTATACTATTTATACCATTTTGTTTAAATATATAATAGTAATAAAAACTTAATTTTGTTCTAAATGCTACAAGTGCATTTAGGCATCACAACGTTATAATGTATATTATGAAAATATTAAATAATATAAGATGAAAACTGATAAAATAGACAAAAAAAACATAAACATACATTTAATTGAGGGACTTGACCCATATCAAAGGAACAGTATAATAGCGAGTTTTGCATGGGCAATCACACTCAAAAAAACTTAATATTAATTTTAAGATGAACATGCAAACTAAAATATCCAGTATAGACCAATAAATATCCATTACCAACCTAAATACAAATACAATTCAGAAATTGTTTTATATATGTATATGTAACCACTTCTGATATATTGTGAAAAAATACATATGTTTACCAGGTATGCTGGTTCTGTTCTGTCATCACTAGAAAAATCTAACCTGAATATTTAGATTTAACCTGAATGTTACCTGTCATCATACAAGTTTATTCTTCAAAACCTGTAGTTTTTAAGATCAATCTTAGTCTGTTCAGCATTTGCTCTGTAACACTAACATGTGTGAAATATGTTTATATGATTAAATGTACGCATCTACACTGCAGGGATCTCCGGGAGAACTACTGTAGGAATCCTGACGGTCATCATCTCCCATGGTGCTTCACGACTGACCCCAATGTACCTGTGGCGTTCTGCACCAACATCCCTCGCTGTGGCATTGCACCACCTGAACATGAAGGTAAGAGTCATTCACTGTGTATTTGTCTGATATTTATTATATTAAGTTTGTTGTTACTGTTGCATGGTACTAGCTTTATATTTTTGGTTCTCATGCACACACTTGAAATGTATATCTTGAGAAATGTTTTAACCATTTAGACCTCATTGCTCTTCATAACAACTCAAATATATTACAGCATATGTTCTTAAATAACAGTAAAAACAATATATATTTTTTTTCATGTCATCAGTGCCATTTTGATGCACACAGTCAGGTTCATGGCATTGAGAAATACAGTAGTCTTGCACAGGGCTACTGTGTTTTGAATTCAGTGAAGCTATGATGGAAGGGCATTACCTTATTGGGTAGCTAATGTTCAAGAGTGTCACGTGTTCTTCTCAACCATATTTGTCATGCAGGAGATCACATTGTTGTACATTTATTCAGGCCATGAATTCTTACAGACTAATCTGAGTTCAGGGACATTGATATACAGATCATTCTACAGTATGTAAAATATCAGCATCCTTGATTATCAGAAAATCCAGAGAGAAATATACATTTCTATTGAAATCCAAGGCATATTGATACTTTTGAATGCATTTGAACATTTCAGTGCACACCGAAATTCGTTTTTTAAAATATTAATCATCTTGTAAAAGCACTGTGGCAGCTGTAGCTTATTGGCAGAGTATTTCAAGTCAGTCATTGTCACCGTGCCCTTGACCAGAAATATTTAACCCTTGAATTGCTCCTGAAGTACCATGACATGTCTGACCCTGGCTTTGCCTTCTCTCTGTCTAGATGTGTATTTCTGTCCTGTGAGTTATGCAAGAGCGAAAATTCTAGTATGGCAGACGAGTTTATAGACAGCGACCATAAACACTTATTTGCTTTTCAGAAACACATTTATAATCTACTGGCTTGATCTTGTTTTCCATGATGTTATGGCTGGCGTTCCTCCAACTGTGTTTCTCTGGCTGGGTAAAAAAAGAAGGCTATAACTTTTGAAGTAGTGCCCTCTTTGCATATCAAAACGACCCTCAAAAAATTTCCTTGCCTTTGTTCTTAGTAATCCTCCCCAGCAAGACATAATATCTATATAATTTATTTTCATGATGCTCAAGAATGTCGTAGCACTTTCTCCCTCCCTTCCTCTCTCTTTCATTTGCTCTTTCTTGGCTGTCTTGGCATTGGTATATGGTGGTCCCTGTAGTCCGGTCTCCATGGCCACTAATGGGGGCTGTTTGAAACATGTGCAGAGAGCAGGAGCCGCGGTGTGGGAATGAGACAGCATGAGTCAAGCATTAATCACTGCTGACAGCTTCATGTGACTGGCAGGGCCCAGGAGACGTTCCATCGAAGGACTCGCACAAACGCTGATGTTAAGATCGATTTAGCCGGTGTTCCAATTGAGGCCGTTGGGATGATCATTTGACTATTGTTGTGCGCTGGGAGCCCTGCTGTGTTTCCATAAGCAGTGTGTTTCCACAAACCTGCTGTGTTTCTTTAAGCACTTTGACTTGCAGAGTTTGATAATAATTTTGAGGCATTTAGGTTAACATCATTGATTAAAAGCAAAGCTCTCATTGGGATCATTAAAACATCTATATTTAATCATGTTGCATTGCATTTATCTTTTACTTTGTGCATATTGTGCATATATTCATAGGTTAGCAAGCATATTATTGGGGTTAGTGGGTTTAGAAAACTTGAAATTAAACTTTGGCACAATAATTTTTATCAAAAGTGCACCTAAAAAGCCTTATATACTGTAGGTTTTATTTTTCTGTATGTAATTGGTTTATCCTATGTGTTTATTACTTGTTTCATTTTAAATATGTGTATTTACCTTTCTTTTTTTTTTTTGTTCTTGCCATGAAAATAGCCTTCTGCCGTGGCATAAAACAACAAAATAAATGCACTTTGGTGTGTTACTCATAAAAAATTAAATTAAATAAAGTAAAATGAAATATATAAGATTAAGAATTTAAAAACCTAGAAATTTAGACATGATGCCTTGGCAGCTAACTGTAATAAATAAGTTGAAGTTGAAGTACTAAAATTACTAAAACTAAAATGTAAATAAAAATCTATTAAAGCTAAATAGAAATCTAAAAAAATAAATAAATAAAATAAAAACAACAGAAGAACATAACAAAATTACTAAAACTAAAATTCAAAAGGAAACTGAAGATATAAAAATAAAAAGCTAATTCAAAATATTAATAAACAATAGTATATTAAAAAATACTACATAACAAAATTACTAAAACTAAAATTCAAAAGGAAACTGAAGATATAAAAAATAAAAAGCTAATTCAAAATATTAATAAACAATAGTATATTAAAAAATACTAATCACTGGCAGCTGGTTGAGGAAAAGTCTGCTATTACTTTCTAAGCAATTTTATGTGCAGTTTTTTGCCTGAAAAACTGATAAAATGGGTGAAAAAAATCCCCATTTTAATGAGGGACCCGACTCGATGAGGGACTAGTGACTTTTGCATTGGCAAACATACTCACATTTTCCTTAGAAAAGTTTTCATAGAAAATGTTGTTGTTTACTATTATTGCACACCCACTTTATAATATCTGCTTTAGTTTGAAAATGTAATGCTTTTTGTTTGGCTGTGTTGTTTCAGAGTGTTATACGGGCATTGGTGACACATACAATGGAAAACGGGCTAAAACACGCTCTGGCATCCCTTGTGCTCCATGGAAAGATCACAGTGAAAGGTGAGAGCTGGCCATCCATGTCTAGACTTCAAAATAAATGTCAAAATAAAAAACAAAAATAATTTTTTTTAATCACTTCAGCTTTAAACTGAATAAATAATATGCTCAGATTTAGAGATAAGAAATTGATTGTTCATAGTCCTTCAGTATGGGCACACACATAGTTTTCTCTATGAATTTTCCATAGTCTAGTATTAAGCAGAACCATCATTTATAGTGGTACAGCGGATAGATTCAGTTACGGACATTCACTCAGTTTCCATGGAAACCAAACTAGGTCCACATCTTGCTATGCAGGATCTCAAGGGCAATCCCATGATGCCTTTGTGCTGCTTTGCAAGGTTAGTTTCAATGGTCAAGCACAGAAAGTTGTCATTAAATTGGTGAAAGGGAATAAATGGTTTGTGAAATATCTCATGTTTTTTTTTTACATATGTAAGCATATGGAGCTATCAAATATGCATTCACAGTTTTACTTACAGCCATACTGGAGTGTTAAATAGCTAGGGTTTATATTTGTTCCTGCCAGGTGAGGTCTGTTTCCTTTAATGCAGTTGTGGTTTTGCCTGTGTTTAATGTGCATTGGCACATTATCAATGAGCATATGTGTAAGTCTCAGAGGAGTCAAACAATCGTTTCCACAAAAGACCTGTGTTGTTTCTGCCATCCACACTCACCCTGAGATGTGTGGCGTTAAATAACTTCCCTGTTTTATGAACAAGTTCCAGGTCAAAGGTCGACCTTTCCAGAACCCCGCCAGTTCATTGATGCAAAGCTCAGGGATTGTCAGGTCGTGTTTGTCTTCATTGAGAAAATAAGACCCTCGACGTTTTCTAAGAAGAAAAACACGTTTTAGTGCAGGACCCCCTTTCTGAAGAGTTCTAATTGATGGTAAACATGGAGCAGTTGGAGTGACTCAATTCCTTAAAAAAAACAGGCAGGACAACCCAGCTGGAACGGGATTCTGAAGAACCACCTTCTGACCCTTTTCCTCGCCCTAACCCTCCTCCATGAACACATCAAAGCCAATCAGCTCCTTTATTTGGCCCACAGCCTGTGAGCCACCATGGCCGGGTTGCAAAGGTCACTGTCAGGCAGGCATTAGGAATAGATTGTTTACATTGTATGAACCCTAGAGTAGCACGGTGAGAAAATCATCGGTGTCATGCATGTGCTCTTCATTGCAGCACTTTTGGTCTCTGGTGAACTTTTGGAGAATCGTAGCATCTCTACATCTGTGAATCTTCCTGAATCTGAGTGATAATGTGGAAAAGCTTGGGGGAAACATGTCATGAGTAATGCACAAGCTAAATACTTCACCTTGCCTCCTGAGAGGAGCTCCACACAGCTGGGGCTTAAGATGAATTTATGAGAAGAAGCTGTTTCTTTGGATTATTTTCTTAAATGGATTTAGATTTATGGATTTATTGTTTTGTTACAAACACTGGATAAACTGTTTGATTAGTGTTAAACGACCCTGGATTTGTCTGAATGATGCACCTGTTTTGAATGTTTATATTAATATGTTAATTTTCCTTCTTAGCACTCTGCTATTAAAGCTGCACATTTTCTGTGTTGTAAGGATGAGATTTGTTTTTGTTCTCAGCAACGAAAGAGATGTGGACTTGCTGATGGCTGAACAGGCGGGGAACTTCTGCAGAAACCCGGACAAGGACAAACACGGCCCATGGTGTTATACCAACAGCTCATCCATCCCCTGGGATTACTGCTCTCTCAAACCCTGTGAGTGAGCAGCACGCTGTCTGTGCTAACATTACAACCTGATTGAGACCTTTGGGTTCACTAAAAATGCTACTTGAAACATGAGGAGTCTAACACAAGCTGAGGAATATGGGTGTAAAGTAAACCACTGAATCAAAACAGTTAAATGCTAAAAAGATAATGCCGAAAATAGACTAAAATTCAGTATTTTATTAATTTATAATGAACTATGTCACCATACAATAGCCAGAAGTGTCTAGTTAGAGCAGAACATAAAAGTATAAAAAAGTAACTATAAAAAGTGTAAAAGGCTACTTTACTACATTTTGAAAATCAAATATATGTTTTTTAATTAAACACTTTTCCAAGACAAAGTTGCAAATAAGTGGCTTTATTATGGTAATATTTGTTTAAACTGGTTACTTGAATTAAATTAGTGGAACCGGTTTGTGTCTGAAATGCAGCTGAACAATTAATTTAGAACAATTGCGAATTAAAATCACAAATGTCTCAATCAGTCAGACAACTAATTCAACTGTTTTCTATTTTAATATATTTTAGAATACAATTTATTACTGTGTTGGCAAAGCTGAATTTTCTGCAGCCATTACTCCAGTCTTCAGTGTCTTCAGAAATCATTCTAATATGCTGATTTGATGCTTAAGAAACATTTCTTAGCATTATTAATGTTGATGTGCTGATCAATATCAATACAGATGTGCTGCGTAATATTTTCATAATTCTTTGATTAATAGAATTTTCAAAAATTTTAAATACAAATCTTTTTTTAACATTATAAATGTTTTTGCCGTCACTTTTTATCAGTTTGTGTCCTAGCTGATAAATGTATTAATTTTGTATGTAAAAAAAAAAAAACCCTACAGTACAGTATTCAGAAGTTCTTCTGGAGTTAAGAACTCAGTCAGTCAATTGTTCGTAGCATTTAAAAGCTCTCACACACTTGTGTCAGAAGTTTTATACTTAAGTGCAAGCAATGTCGCTAACTTTCATTTGAGTCTATCTGTCTTTACTCACATTAAAGTATGACTTTTGGTTTCTTTATACAGTACAGACAATAACCATATTTTTGACCATTATGTACCCACATATGCTTTCCTGTTGACTTATACTCTCATCATTGACACCGCAGACTTGTGTTGAGCATGTAGGCCATGTGTTACGAATCTACATACGCACATCAATCACTCACACACACATGCGCACACTTTCCACAGAGGTTTCAGTTTAATTAAAGAGTGTAAAGTCCAGGTGGCTCGGACTGTCAGCACTCCCTCTGTCTCTGTCACACACACACACACACACACATACACACACACACACACACACACACTCGCATGTATAAGTTAAGCTTCAGTGCTGTGTGGGTCTAACTGGTCCCACATGCTGGACCAAGACTAGTCCTATGCTAAAGACATCACACAAACTTTCACTCAAATTATACTCTAAACAGCCATCACTGGTGGCCACATCTTTTTTCATTTCTCATGCCTATTCATTGCTTAGAACAAAAATAAGCTTCCTTTCTTTTTCCTTCCTTTTTAGGTGAGCCCTCACATAACAATCTGCCACAAAAAGGTAATCATGTCTTTCAAGTGTTGTTAAGCCATGCAGAATTTTTTTTGCTTCAGATTACGTTAGAAAGATTATTTCAAAAACACGTTTGAGCATTTGTGTGTTTTCTGTATTCTGATAAACTTGTGTGTCACCCCTCATTTTGTCTTTTCGATCTCTTTACAGATGAGGGTACAAAGACCTCATGTTTTGTTCACAAGCAGGTGAGAATCGTCGGTGGTGGGCCTGTCCAGATTAAAGAAGGCAGCTGGATGGTCAGCATACAGAGAGGGTAAGCCATTTGCAAAATATGTAGGTAACATTGATAAATATTATCATTAACAAACATTATTTGTGGTGCACTAAGAATTGGTACCTCAAGACTTACCCATGTGTAATTATTGAAAGATGAAGAAAGATGAATGGTGAATAACTGCCAGTATGTCATTTTTTTAAGACTTCATTGACTATAAAGCATATTTATATGGAATGTAATGCTTTAAATGATATTAGTCAACAGTTTTAGAACAGAAATTTCATTAATGGGCAGTTTTTAAAATGACTTTTTATTATTATTATTACTTTTCATTATTTATTATTTATTTATTAAACATTTTAGTAAATTTTTTTATAGTAAATATATCAAACCAAAAGGGCTTATATAATTGCTTGTTTTGTATTATTTTAAGAAAATATTGTTAAATTATTGTATATAATTGTCTTTATTTATTCAAAATTTTTTCAAGTTTGTATAGCGCTTTTCACGATGCAAATCGTTGCAAAGCAGCTTTACAGAAAATTATTTAGTTATATTTTTTATATAATTATATTTAGTAATAGCTTATCAGTGGTGACTATCTCAAGTTGATGTCCATATGGCAGTAATGTATGGTACGGTTTATTGAAGTTTTACTGTTATCATGATTATTTTAGCATCTACTACTCTTAAAATTGCCATGTAAATAGCATTTGCTGCTGATATGGCATTATTAAAAAACAACCAAACAAATATATAAATAAAAATAGTGCACTAATAAGCATCACTATTACTGTTACTTTTGTTACAAACCTCTAACCTCTTAAGTATTAAACGTTAGCATGCAACTCATCCTCCACCGAACTACTTACAGGTATCTGTTAGCATTATATATTTACTGACTTATTAACAGGTGATACTATTAAGTGTAAGATACTAGTAAGATACAGTAATTTTACAGGGTGTTTGCATTTCCCAAATCTTTGTATCCACTTTCTTTATATCAAGCAAGAAGTATACACAATGTCTGTTTTCCTAAAAAGTCCATCGTAGGACGATTGACTGTAAAATTCCCTCCAAATAAAGTGCAGTTGTCCATGAAGTTCGGACAGCTCCTCAGAAGTAAAGCCCTGCGCTGTCATGTTTTATAACGTGAGAGAGTCATGTTGGAGATGCGTCACTGTCTCATGTCTCTCGGTCTCTTCAGGAGCACTCACTGGTGCGGAGGTTCTCTGGTCAGGGAGGAGTGGGTGCTGACAGACAGACAGTGCTTCTCGTCATGGTAATTATCTCCAGCCTTGCTGCACAGTCACCATCGTGCCCTGGCCGTGACCTCTGGATTCTCAGGGCCACAGGGTCAATGATCCACAGGCTTTCATGATTTGTCCCGTGCATGTAACCCAACAAATCAAAGCTGCGGATGTTTTTAGAACATGCATCTTATAGCATGAAACATCCATATATCTACATTTCCACAAAAATAATTTCTATTATAGAGGTCATATCATGAGGAATCAAATTTAGCTTGAACTTTTGAGATAAGAAGATTCATTTTACTACGATAAACATACAGTAACATCCTCCCTACTCTAAAAAAATTAAATTTTTAGACCATTTATAAAATCAAAGCTGCAAAAATGGCCTACTCTGAGCTTTTTAATTGCAAAGAGGCTGAAAACCTATTTTTGGACTTGCAAACATGCAGTTTACTAGTAAATTTGATGCACCACATTGTAAAAGGCTGTTGGCAGGAAACAACAACAACAGCAAAAAATGTCCTGTTTAATTTTAAGGATCAGAGAAAGAGTAGAAGATGGCCATAAAAAAAATAAATTATTGGCACAAAAAAATTAATTCAAGGATATGTATGCCCGGTACCTGAAACCATACTTTTTTGATATACTGTATGATATCATTTTTCATTTATTAAAATGTTATTGTTTTTATGATTATTTTAATTTCTACTACTCTGAGTTTGCCATGTAAATAGCCTGTTCTGCTGATATGGCATTAAAATCTAAATTGGACTTATATTGTGAGTAAAGTTGATGCAATAAGCTATATCTCATTGCACATTTGTAAAGGCTGTTGACATGAGAGTTTTTAAGGCACAGTTGAAAAAGGAGTACAAAAAGAGTAGAAAATGGTCATAAAAAACTAAATTATTGGCATAAATAAATAAATACATACATTTATACATTATGTAATATTTATACCCAAAACTTGAAACCATACTTTTATGATATGCTTTTCCCCCCAGTGTGCCTGACCTATCAGAGTACAGAGTTTGGCTTGGTATATCCCATTTGAATGAGTCGGGTGAGAATGACTTCCACAGACAGGAGAGGAGAATCTCGCACGTGATCTGTGGCCCGGAAGGCTCAAGTCTCGCTCTTCTCCGACTGACTCAGTAAGACCTGTCAAAAAATAAATATGTATATTATTAATTTATTCCATGTCTGATCTTATTCCTTTGTTGTTGATGAAATGACCTCTCTGTTACTCTTTCTCACAGACCTGCGCTCCCAAGAGAGCGTGTCAGAATCATTCAGCTGCCTGTGGCGGACTGCAGCATTCAGGAGGACACCATATGCTCTGTGTACGGCTGGGGTGAGACCAAAGGTGGGTTCAGCATAAGAGCCAGTCATCAGAGACTCCCCAACACCTGACAGCTTTACAGGCACACAACATTGCTGTCTTGCTTCCAGTCTAACACAACAACCTCCCAGTGGCTTCAACTGACCATAAAGTTTGGTTTGTTTTATTAACATAAATCCATTACCCAATTCTGGGTGCACACCAAGGAACAGCACTTGAATATATTTTATAAATGGGGGCAGGGTAGGAAATTAACCAGGCTTAGGGAAAAAAAAAAAAAGTTACCAAAAGTGACAAAAATGCTACAAATATTTAAAATGTGAGTGCAAAAGTTCTAGTTTTGCTGTGAGGCAACATTAATAAACAGCTTGTTGGTGATGAAAGCATTTTAGAAGCTTTTTTTTCGGTTTGGAACTACATAGCGTAACAGTGTGAAAGCAAAAGGGAAGGCACACACATTTGAGTTCACATTCAAGCAAATGTGCCAAATATAGTCTCTAATAGAGTGTTTTATGGCTTTCTCAGGCACTGGACATGAGGGAACATTGAAACGGGTTCATCTGCCCATAGTGAGCAATGAACGATGCCAGCAGCTTCACAAAGGGGCTATTCCGATCACCAGTTCAAAACTGTGTGCTGGTGGCAGAAGGGATGAAGGAGTGTGTGAGGTGAGTTTATTCACTATAGATTTACTCTCTGCAGAATGAGCTACCATTCAAAAGTCTGGGGTCAGTAAGAGTTTTTTTTTTTTTTTGGTCGGAAATGAATAATTTTAATGCAATAATGCATTTCATTGCTAGTAGAGACTTCTAAATTGTTAAAAAATCTATTTAAAATAAACATGGTTCTTCTAAATGTTCTATTAATTAAACAACCCTGAACAAAAAAGTATCTTGGTTTTAGACAAAAACATTAGGCAGCAAAACTGTTAGAAACGTCAATTATAACAAGAAATGTTTCTTGAGCAGCAAATCAGCATTCTAGAATGATTTCTGAAGAATCATGTGACACTGAAGACTGGAGTGATGATACTGAAAATTCAGCTTTGTCATTACAGAAATTTTTTTTTTTCTATATTGCATTTTAAAATATATTCAAATAGAAAACATTTTTGATCAAATAAAACCAGATTTGGTGAGACTTCTTGAAAAAATATTTTTAAAAGTCATACCGACCTCAAACTTTTGAATGGTTCTGTATATCAACGGCTACTTATTTAAATCGCTGACATATTGAGACAAATGCCATCTTATTTTTTGTTTAACTGTACGAAATTATAAAGGTTTTGGTGGCGCTTTTACTTTTGTTAAACTTTAGATGTATTTCTAAATATACATTTTTGTCCTTTTGTTTTTTGTATTTTTCACAGAAAGACTATGGCGGCCCTCTAGTATGCCAAGAGAGTAACAGTAAAGTCATTGTTGGCGTGAGCATAAACGGCAGAGGATGTGCCCGACACAACCGACCAGCCATTTTCGTGAACGTGGCCTTCTATACTGGATGGATTCATAAAGTATTCAAAAATTATCCAAACTCAGAAATAAACAACTGATGGAGAATAAGCAGGATTGAACATACGATCTGAGATATAGGAACAAAAATACAGAATCTCCATAAATCTGACAGTTCATTTCTTGATTTTGGGTTCATCTGAACAGCTCTTGTTGAAAAAGTTCTTGGGAACTTTCCCAGCATGGCCGTGAAACATATATTCAGAAACTACTCAAAGAGCTAGAACTGCGGCTGAAACTGTTGCTCTGAATTCAAGCAATTTGTACACCTAATAATGCCAGAACCGCAGAGCAAGGCGCTGGGAGACAGAGTCTCTAAAGGCTAAATTCGCAACTAGCCATACGGAAAGATAAAGATTACTGGACTGAAGTGCGGATGGGCAGCCAGAATCTGTTTCAAGAATCAATAGCAATTCCTGGCCACCAACCAAAAACTTCAAGTCCTCGAAGAGAAATCTTGCTGCAGTGCGTTACAGAGCATTCGTATGTACATTCAACCCACACATTACCCATCAAACTAACAATCTGTACTTCAATTGGGATATTGGATTCAGAGACTCAATCCAAGTTTGAGTCTGGATTCAGACCAGGACTTGATATATGGATACAAACTCTTAGATCCCAGCAGGAATCTGCCGTTCCCCTCTTTAAAAGCGTTCAAAGCTGACCGACGTACATATTTCGGCCGCTCCTCATCGAGAAAGAGGGTGTTATGATTATAAGTACTTGTTGATATAAAACCCTCATTAACAGTGTCATTCAAAAAGCCCCTCGATAAAGTATTAGCTGTTAGCTGTTAGCATAGCTAAATGTAGAAAATCTTATGGGTAAAAGTATACACAGAAGGCTTTTTTTGCGTTTATGCTCCTGATAATACTTGAAAACACACATGAGAGAGGTCACTGTGTCCCTCAATAACACCTCCACGTGTCGCCATTACAGATTGTCGTTTGGTCAGCGTAGGTGTTTATATAGTCAAAGGTGTTCCATCCATTTCCAGTGTTGATATTTTGTCCGCAAGCCTGAACGGAGATGACATGACCTGCTTGTAGTGACAAATTCGTAGTTGTCATAACATATCAGCATTTGAGGTTCCCATACACTATGTTCGGTTTAGAGCAGAATTCAGAGGATTTGGAAATGTGTGTTGTAAATACTGTGGTCGTGGGAGTGGGGTACTCACTCCCATTTCTTTCGTAGGTCTCATAGACCTTTATAAGATGTTGGCCTCCTCCATTCCAGTGTCGTTTTGTGTCCTCATTGGGTGGTTTTATATATTTGTAAATATATCTGTATTAATTCCAAATGCACATGTTGTCAGTGTACGCTAAGTGTTGTGAAAATCAAGAACGAGTGTGATATTTTATGTTCACTGAATCGTGCGTGTGTGTATGAGTGTGTGCAATGCTGCAAAGATGCATTGAAGCCGAAATGTGCGTCTCTGCAGGACAGAGAGCAAAGCGAGCGTACATCGTGTGTATTTGTAGACATCGGAATAAAGGGCAGTTTGGGAATTTTACAGATTAATTTAGCTGATTTTCAGATCAGAGCCATTGTAAGATAAATCCGAGTGATTTTCTCTCTTGTGTGGTCTTGGATCGCTCATTCCACGAGCGCCTCGTTCTCTCGTAGGCTACTGGCCTGCCTCCAAAAACAATCAGCTTGGGAAATTACCTCCAAAAATCATATCGGCTTAAACAAATAGCTCTCTGAGTGATGACTCGTAAGTGTTCGTATTCCATCCACTCCCGATGCTAATTATGTTGGTTAAAATGAAGGATGAGTCGTTTTGTAAGGACGTTGTTGAACACATTGAGATTAGTGTTACTAAAGCACAAGACAAGGCAAAAGAGCCCTTCAGTGGTACCTCATTTGGCTTTAACATTTATCAAAACAAATGTTTTCGTGTAGTAGTGTTTTTTTTTTTCTACTTTGGAACAACATGAAACCTGTGTTTGAGGAAACCTAGAAGCTGCTGGATGATTGAGCTTGTTCTGAACTTTTTTCTAAGATACGTTGAGGGGCGAATTCATTTGTAGTATTTCGGTGCGAAACCTGCATCACATTCCCTAACCACCTGCTATCCAGTTTAACCAGGCGATAAAGTCATTGTCATTATTTTCAGTGCAAACATACCTCCTTTATGCATATGCAAATTAGTCTCATTATGGAGTGTGAATTATTCACACAACCCACCAATATTTGCCTGCCGCAATTAACGTCCCGGTACTGCAGTTAAATGGAATTTAATTTTCATTTCAAGAGATGTTTGTGTACATTTTCTGTTAAACATGGCAGTACAGATTTAGTTTGCACTGTTATTTCATTTATGTTATTCCTTTTTTGAATCTGGAGCTAAAACTTACAGGAAGAAATGTGCTTTGGTAAATCATAATCATGACATAAAAAGTCATATTTATAATAAGTTCAAATGACAATTCATAATTATGAGATACATTAAGTGATTAATAAGTCATTAATGAAATAATAGATCATAATTATGAGATACAAATTGATTTTGACATAAAAAGTCAAAATTATGACAAAAAACATGAGATATTTGAGTCATATTTGAGATACTCTGATATAAAATGTCAATTATGAAAAATTTTTGAATTTATGAGTTAAAATTATGAGATAAATCATTATGACATAAAAAGTAATAATTGTGAGATATAGTCATAATCATGACAGAAAGTCATACTTGAGACTCAGTCATATTTCAGATCAAAAGTTGAAATTGGCATAAAAAGTTGGATTTATGTCAAAATTATGACATACTAGGGCTGTCAAAAAAAAAATCGAATTTCGAATATTCGTCGAATTTAAAATAAAAATCCACATTCGAATGCAAAAACGTTGCATTCAAATTTTAGATATGCGTTAAGGAGGCAGCCTTATCAGTGGCGCACGAGATGTGATGACGATGTAAGTGTCACTGCATTTTAATGTTTTTGTTAGCCTATCCAGTTGAAGCCACTCAAAACTGAAACCAAGCCGTTCACACAGAACACATATTTTGCGCATTTTCTAGAGGGACATCTATCATCGTTGCACTCGCGTCTCACACAAGAGAACCGCATGTTTAGAAAGCCATGTAAAATTAATGCAAGTTCAACTTTGAAAAAACATATATCAAGACTTTACGGCGGATTTTTTCCCCATCCCACTGCAACTCGTGTTTTTAAATGAAAAATGTACTCTGTGTGATTGGTTTTCGGCCCTTTGTATTAAACTATGAATACATACATGATGCGGTTTTGTTTATAGTTGTTTAAGCAACTTAATTAATTATAATTGGTTTATAAACATTATTTTAAACATTATGCACTTTTTTTTCCACAGATAGTCATGTTTTCTTATGCTTTGAATAAACGTGGCCTCAAGAGAGAAGCCAAAAGCTATTCTTCACCCTAATTGAAATTATGCATTTTAAATTTTAATATAATTCGAATTTTGATCATATTTAAGTACAAAATGTGAATTTAGTTTTTCAGCCATTTTGACAGCCCTATGACATACTAAGTCATAAAAATGAGATACAAATTCAAAAGTATGACAAAGTTTTGTCCTAATTATAACTTTTATTTTGTCAGTTTCATTTAGTTAGTTATAACGTTTTTTTATTTTTATTTTTATCTCATGTTGACTTTTATATTCGAATTTTGACTTTTTAGGTCATAATTTTGACTTTTCACCTCATAAATATGACTTAATATTTTTCCTTTTTAAATAATAAGTATGATTCACCAAAGCACCTTACACCTCATGTGGCGGAAATGGGCTTCACATTAGGCAGTTCATGCATGCATGCATGCAATAAAAAAATAAAAAAAAAACAGCTTTTTCCAACCAGCAGGGGGCAGTGTTGTTTGACACCCTGAGGTCCTTACTAATGGGAAAACGTTATTAACATTGGACTTTAGTTTAAGAACAGTCAAGACATTTTTATTTATATATATATTTTTTTACATTTATTTTCATTTTTTGTATCAACTTACACTGAAACAGACTAGTGCGTTTCTATTTAAAAAAAAATGCCTCCCAGCATCCTTTTCTGGTCTGAAGCCAAAATGTGATTGTTTCAGTAAAACACATTTACTGAATCCATTCATATTCCTTTACTACACACATAAGTGTGTGCAGACAAACAGTGATATGGGTCAATATCACTATGAAGTGCCTTTGAGACTTCACAATTTCTAATTTCTATTAAACTTCATATTTGTTGTGTTAAGGAGACTGTAGGCCGTTAGAAATGCATATTGGTCAAGCTCCAGCACTTTTTATAAAATAACTGCAAGCAGACAATTTTCGAGTAAACCACAAACTATGTCCACCCTGTCATGAACAAATTCAAAGTATAGAGTATATACATTTTCATTACATAGTGATTATAAAATGTAGATTTTCAGAAAGATATGTTGTCCCTTTCTCAACAATACATTTTGTTTAGTTGGAAAAGTCTTTTGAAAAATTGAAATTACTGCAACATATTTGTATCCCTATAAAATATGCGAAAGTTGCACTTTCTTTTCTAAATAAAATCAAACGACAAAGATATCTGGTCAAACTTTCAATGAATACTAACTGGCCCTCATTTCTTTATAAAGAAATCACACAAAAAGTTTTGCTAACTTATTTAAATAATTTGTTTATTTTCATAAAAGATGAAGATGACAGGGTGGACAACAAGATGACAGGGTGGACCTTGGCATGACAGGGTGGACAAATGCATTAATGGGTGAAGAGAACAACAGATAAACAACAGGAACAACAAGAAACCCTTAAGTAATATAAATAATGATTTCAGAAATATATATTCTACACTGCAATTGTAAATTGATTTAAAAGGGCATTTTTACATTTAGGAGGCCATTTTTCTCACCTTATTAGATTTTGTCAAATACTTAATTCAATTCAATTCAAGTTTATTTGTACAGCGCTTTTCACGATACAAATCATTGCAAAGCAACTTTACAGCATATTAAGTTTCTACAATATTTCATTTCATTCACTTACATTTTAATCAATAATTTAAATGAGAATAGTAAGACACTATGGGGCTGTTCCAAATCAAATTATATAATTATATATATATACAAAGCAACTGCATACAATGTAAGATAGCATACAGTTTTGGGCTGGGGTGCATTAAATGCATTTATCAATTCAACCTTTTTCCCCATAATTAATCACACATATATATATATAATTAATTTCCACAGACTGTATACACTGCACTTAGAATTGCATAAATAATGCTATGAGATTAATGGGTTTTAAATGGGTATTAATGGGTTTTTTAAAATGTAATATTAAATTATGAAAGTAATAAAAAATTAAGTGATACTCTAAATATGAAACTAAAGCCACTCACTAGATCTGTTAAAAACACAGATTTATTCAGTAACTAAACACCGCTTTGTGTTGCTCAGAGATGCACAACAGACAATATTGACAGTATTGTGTTTAAAATGTAACTATATATATTTTTTATTTTATTTTATTATTTTTTTTTTTATTGGTACAAACACAATATGATAAAAATGAGGAAATATAAGTGTAGATACTTAGTGTACTTGCAGCAGATGTTTTAAGCGCCACTGAAGAAAGGCAAAATGGGGGTGGAGATTTCACTAAACAATGTAAGATAGCATACAGTTCTGAGCTGGGGTGCATTAAATGCATTTATCAATTCAACCTTTTTTTCCCCCATAATTAATCACACCAATGTGACATGTTAAATCAATAGCCCTTTTTAAAACATTATCAGAATTTGGCAAAAACTATGCACATGTCCCCCCTGTCATGGAAGGCTTGGTGACAGGATGGACAATGACAGGGTGGACATTTTTGGTTATAGTTAGCATTTAATAAACACATGGTGTACCTTCAGTCAGCAAAGTGGTTCATTGTTGAAGCTGAATGTTTACTGCTTAAAATATATATTTTGAATTTCTGAAAAACTTTTATGTAAATTAATATTTTACTATGACAGGGTGGACATGTTAAGCTTGGCAACATGCAACTACAAACACAATATGATGAAAATTAGGAAATATAAGTGTAGATACTTAGTGTACTTGCAGCAGGTGTTTTAACCTCCACTGAAGAAAGGCAAAATGGGGGTGGAGATTTCACTGAGTAGATCAGAGGGTTTCTTAAAGGGGCATTTACAACATCATGACAGGGTGGACAGCAATTTCAGGGACACGTGCAAAATGCTTAATATTATTATGAAAATACAATATAAATGAACAATCTGACTTGTTTTATTAACAACTGGCTGAGGGCAATAAGAATATTTAAAACTTATTTCAATATTGTGTTATTTAACCACTTTTTACACTCATTGAAGTTAGCTGAGCTGTGTGAGGGACATGCCAAATCACACACATCCAATCAAAGAAAATGGTATAAAATGAGAAAAATACATTTCAAGACACTGTAGTTGTATATGTGTGCAAATGTTTGGTCATTTATCATACAATTTCAGAATTTCATTATATTGTATTATGTTCATGATGACTAAGTGATTCTGATGAGGACACCAAAGGCACTTTATAGTGATGCACTGTGATAAACGTTTTCGTTATTATTTTGTTTATCGCTTTACATTTAGCTTGAAGTCAAAGAGGAATAGGCCTACTGAACCACAATTACAGGGAAGGGGTTATTTTAGGGGTTTGTTTTGAGGTGCTGAATGTACCATTTCCTGAGAGTTATCGCCAACAGCACCCGGGGGTCGAATAAAAACACTTTTAAAAGCGCTGACCTGTTTCCTCAGCCTGTTTGCTCATAAAGCGAAGGTGTTAAGCACCGTTTTTATGGAGAGGGACAGGCCGGTTTAGTTGGAAAGTGGCTCTCGGGAAGACACTCTCCAGAGGGAAGCGGCAATAGATTAGAGAGGTGTGCAGTCACCTTGTGTTCAGCACATCCAGCCCGTTTACCTGAGTTAACCTGGGGCTTCATAGGCCTTCGGGGACGGACACTGCAGGGAAAGTTGCACCTAATTAGCAGAACAGCGGCACGGCGGGACAAACCGGTTCCGTGTCCGATCATAGGGTGTAGTGTCAGTCTGCGACCACTGGGTGGCGTTGATGCCACATCAATGAGACGGTTCTAACATTCGCTAATCTAATAAAGGTATCTGAATGATTGGTTTTGAACAGCTTGGTTTCTCTCTCTCACTTTGTTAAACCCAAGCAATTTATGTATCCAGCCAGCCAGCCAGCCAGCAGTGGAAAGAAGCGATGTACTTTGATCTCTCTCTCCTCCGTTCAGTGCGAAGGTTGACGCTGTGTATAGTATGCTGAAGCTCTGTATGTGTGTCGTGTTGGCCTTGG